AAAGATATATATATATATATATATATATATATATATATATATATACAATATTTCTTGAACTTAGAAAAGGAGGTTGTACTAGCGTGAATTGGCGAAAGATTTCTTAACTTGTAATGGGTACTCTACCCTGGTTCTTGGTGTCATAATTTGAATTAAGTTTCCGTTTAAAGAATAATGGATTGTCAACGAGTTGAGTCGAAAATCGAGGTTCGGGATCGACTTGAGCTTTTTGAAGATGGGCTTTTTTTGGCCTGCCAAAAAATGGAGGCTCGGCCCGAGCTAGCTCTTTTTTCCCCCCTTCCTGTTGAAGGCAGCTGGCACGCTGCCTAAGTAGCTCAATTTTTTTTTTCTTGAGCCGAGCTGGCTTTACTTTTGCGGGCGGGGCTAAGGGTGGCCCGGGCCCGCGAGCTTATTTGCCATCCCTAGAATAGCACGACTGGAAGCGAGATGAGAAGTTTGGATATGTTCAATAGTGTTCAACTCTCCCTCTAAACCATTATCACTACTAGTATTTGACCTCGTTGGCTTTGAAAGAACCGATTAAGAAGTGGTATTTAGTTGGAGATTTACAAGGCCATTTGAAAACGTAAAGAAAAGCTGTTGGCATGAAAAGTGAGACTAATACATAACATCAAGTGCATAAGATATTTGGACAGATAATGCGGGTGGATGGATACTTCGTCGAAGAAAATTCAATTTTCTTTATATTAGTTCGAGACATTAAATTATATTCATTGAGGTGGATACAATTTATATATTGATTTATAAACTCAATTAAAATCAAACATTAATTTCAATATTACATTCATAACTACTCATCAAATTTCTTTCAATCCGCAACATTCTTTCACTATATGTATTGAACGAGAGAACAAAAAAAGGATGTAAGCATGCAAACATTGTATAATTATAATACGAAACATTAACTTTTTTCACAAGCTTTTTTGGTCCCAAATGCCAATGTTGTTCCCTCAAACAGTTAAAGCAACAGGAATTGTTAATTTTTATCGTTATCACATGATAGTATCTTCTTGGAGCCAACAATTTCTTGCCTAAGCACGCAATAAGAACCATATTAAAAACCACTAATTAATTATATAAATATTTATATAATTTTTTTTGCATATATTTCCTGAATCCCATCAGCTTTTCACCAGTTTCAACAGACACGAGATGGACGCAGGCAGCTTGAAAAGAAACCCCGTGCCTTCTTCTGCGCAGAGAGAAAATAACAAATAATTAGCTCAGTAACTATTATATCTTTGAGTTGCTTGTTTAAAAAGTGACACTATTGAAAGTAATCTTTCGTTTTCAAAATGTTTAAACAAATAAAAAAATTCAATTTTTTAAAGGACTATTACCTTCTTCACTTTGATTTATAAAAGAATATTTATTTTAGAACTTGGTTACTTATAGTAAACTCTTTTAATGTACCTTCTTCACTTATAAGTGTTTGCATGAAAGCAATTATTTGAAAAGTGATTTTCTTGAGAATGAGTTGTTAAAAAGTAAAGAAAATATACTAAAAACATGAAAAATATTTTCTTAGGAAGAATATATCATTGAAAATGAGAACTGAAAAAAAAGAAAGAAAGTGATTTTTAAATAATATCTGGACTATATTTAATCATAAGTTAATAATTTTGTTGTGCATTAGAATCTAACAAAATAAATTATCTATCTGCACAGGAAGCATCGCCACAACTTTCTGCTTTTAGTTATTGAATTTGATACTATAATTAGATATATAAATACAATGGCACAATGAAGATAATGAGATTAATGTAAAAGTTGTGAATTTTTAGCCTAAAAGCAGTTGCTTTGCTTAGGCAAATGCTAAAATATGAGGAAAAAAAGTTAAACATAATGTTTTAGGGAGACAATGGCGGAAGGTCACGTATTAAAACATTAATCTTTAATTCTTTATTACTTCTTTTAGTGATCTTTTTTCTTTGACAATTCTTGTCAAAAATCACATAAAAAAGTAATCTTTAAATCTGGAAATCTTGTATTGCACTAAGTTTTTCACTGTGGGGTGGAGTGGTTCAGAGGGCTTACCCTTTTGGTTTGTGCACGGAGGAGCTCCGGTGAAATCTTGTATAAATCTTCATCCACCGCCTTGGGCGGTGGTCTTGGTGGTGGCGCTGCCGTGACAGGAGATTTCATGTCACTGTCATAATCACACATCATCCATGCTGCTTCTTCCTTTCTCCCTTCTTTTTCTCGAGGATAACCTACTTTTGCCTGCAATATTACCCACACTTATCAGTTATCATTATTCATAAAATAACACAATCAAATATTCATAAGGACAACTAAAATCAGAAAAAGAGTTAATTACTCGGCTGCGGGGAACAACAATCATGGCTGGAGTAACAATATCATTCTCATACAAATCACCGGCGACGTACAAATCCCGGTCTTCATCGGAGTAGCTATTCCTGAAAACCCCAGCTTGTCTTGTAGATTCAAAGCACTGTGTAAATGGAAGACCAGCATTGCAATCCCAGCTACCAAATGCTGGAACATGGCTCCTCCTGAAGTAAAATTCCTACACATCATCAAGAAAAATAAACAAGTTCAAAATCTAACTCATATATTTTTACTGCAAATTGCTTCAAAAAGAGAGCTTACACTTACATCCATTCTTTGTCGATGAAGAGCGTTCAAGAATCTCGGTAAAATATGAGATTGACTTGTGAGAGAGAAGTGTAGAGAATTTGTAATGAACTTTTGTTCTTTCTATCAGTTGTTGCTTTCCAATACGTGGGCATAGGGAATTTAAAGGGGAATGGGAGAAAATTCAATTAAAATGAAGCCGTGTCTTTTCTTTTCTTTGTTTCTTCAGTGGATTAAAAAAGTAGTAAAAGGAATAAAGTGTGAGTAGGTGGTTAGGGTAGGGTAGGATCCAAAGAGACATATCATCCATATACTTCTACTGCAGTGCACAGAAGTAAAAAGAAAGAAATTAAGCAACAAGCCCAGATACCTAAGTTTAAAGAGTAGCAGACAAATAGACAAAGAGGTAAGGTGGGGGGTTAAGGGGGTTAAGGCAAAAGAGGTGTTCTTTGCTTTACCTTTACTTTATCTGGTGGAAATTCTTATATCGCTTTTATGAGAAGGATTCATTGCTTTGTCTCATAAGTGTATATTCCAATGTCATTGTCATGTATATATACACAGTAGAAAGAAATGGAGACGACACGAGATGCACACTGAACTTTATGACAAATATTTACATTTCTCATATTTGAAAAGTCGCATGAACTTTCTCCATTTCTAATCTTGAGTATTTTTCTTCCTTTTTTTTTTTTCTTTTTATATAATAAGATTTTAACTAATATCATGTATAGGATACCAAAAACAAGAAATATGAAAGGTTAATTCGATTTTTTAAAAGTGGGATGTCTCTTATATTCTCTAAGAGATAATAATTGTACGTTTGACAAAGCCTTAATTTTTTTTGAATCCCCGTAGATAAATTTTGAAGGGAAGATTGCACCCATCGTCCCAAATTTTTATCCATTCTTCATTTCTTGACAACACCATTCCCAAACTTTAACTTTCAACCATTCTAAAAAGCCTGTAAATTGACACTAAAGGGCAACTTTGCCAACGTCAGTAAGAGCAAAGGAGGGTTAACATCGGGGAGGACTGCAAACCTCACATTTTGAACATGTACCAAAGTATATAAAATAAATAATAATAAATGATTACGCGAAGCATTCTCTTCATTTCATAGTCACTAATTGCTTTAACAAATCAATTACACTTTTTTGCAAAAATCATATTACTATATTCGACCCACGATACTTTTAAATTTTCCTCATTTAAAAACTTGACATATTTAACCTTTCAAGTGCAATTCAAATTCAATTTTTGTTCAAATATTTATAATATATTAAATATCACATCTAGTGAGGATCATTTTTGAACGATTATATCCTTACTATAATTCAATTATTTTAATAATACATTACTTTTCATTTTTACCTTACTTTTTGTTTTTCAATAAGTATTAATGTCCAATTTCATATTCCCAAAATCATTCATTTACTCAATAATTAACAATTAACAATTAATTTTCTAATTAAAACCCTTCGCCCCTCTTCATTGCCATTGCCTTGCACTTACAAACATGTACATATGTAATTGGTAGGAGTGGTGAATAGGTTTCTCAAATTCATGTACACTTTATATATTTCAAGTCTATTCAATTAATCTATGAACAAATAAATTAGTAAAGTTCGTGCATACTTATTTATTTTCAAATTTATTTATGATAGAAATTATTCTCCAAGTTCATGTACACAACATTTTGTCTAAATCAATTTTCAAAATCACGAGTATATAAATTATTGTTTTTCTATATTCATTAATTCAAATTAGTTAACTTCCATGTTCATGAATGTCTTTGATTGTTCTCTTGAGTATTTGACATAAATGCATTAATCTCTCAACTATTTAAACCCTTTTCATGAATAATTTTGACATTTTACTTATAAACTTTTTTGAAATTTATTTGACGGGCTTTTTCTTTCGAAGATTTTTTTTTTCTGTGGGCAATAATTTGGTTGTATCAACCATAGATATAGCAGATTTTGAAGGAGCTCAACTAAATAAGAAGCAAAAATAGATTGCTGCGTGATGTTTTGCTTGATATTCTAGACTTGTACGCTGGAAAATTGATAGCGATATTAATACAACTATTACCAAGTTTTTATTATTTTTATTTTTTATATTGTAAAATTAAGTGCAATCTATAAGATTTGATATGCTCAAACATTTTCACATTATGACATTACTCAATAAATAAAAAGTTCATTACACAAACACTTCGTATTCACTAATTTTTATATTTACACGTCTTCGAATATTACTTTTATAGTATTTATAAAACATTTCAGAATAACGTACAACGCATGTTTAACTATGACTGGTGGTCTTATATGGCACAATTTTTACCAAAAAAAAAAAAAGAAAAGAAAAGAAAAAGAAAAAGATGATGTAAAAACAAATGGCATTTGTTAAAAGTGTATATTTAATTTCAAATATTGAAAAAGCTTCTCCTCTAAAATTTCCCTTTGAGAAGTGGGAAAAAATATGAACTTATTAATCTAAACATGGATCTGCCCACTGGTTGTAGGATTCCTAAATGGATCTTGCCCATTGGTTCTTGGATCCAGTCCAATCACCTAGATTTGCATAAAACAAGCCATAATCTAATTCCCAAAAAAGTCAAACTTAGATTTCCAGTGAACTGTCTTTGACTTTATAATTGAATAATATCTAATCACCTCTTACGTTGTTGCACACTGTTTGAGTGCTTCACAATGAAAAAACAAATTTGATTGCTTAATACTTATAATATCAAGAAAATTATCCACAATTTCCTAATCAGAGCCACCTTGATCAAGCAAAGAGCCTTTAACACGAGTTACACGAGTAGGAGAAGAAACGAAAGATCTAAAAAGGACTTTACTTGATGTATATAATTTTTTGTACATCAAAGTGTCCCACACTCACATGGGGTGGGATCCACTCAAATAAAATATTCGAGTGGACCCCACCCTATGTGAGTGTATAGATATCTTAGTATTCAAAAAATTATGTACAAGTAGTGTTATCCAACTAGAAAAGGGAGTTACAGAATTTGTGGATAACTGGTTTGGAAAAGTTAGTGAAATCATAACTATATTTTCATTTGCATTATATACTCTTAAGACAAAGCATACTCGTAACATGTTATCACAACTTCTATTTCGATGAAGATGCATGGACAGAAGCGATCAATGACCAAAGTAAAAGTATATATAGGTTTATCCTGCCCAACCCACTTCACATGGGCTTGACATGTCTACATGTTTCGGGTACGGTGATGTTGTGAACCATATCTCACTACTTTAAAAGAGAAGATATAGGAGCTCACGTAAGGCAAAAAATCGAGAGAATAGATGATCCATAAGGAGATAGAAGAAAAGATGCGTGAAGAGGTGGACAAGATTAAGCCATTGTTCAGTTTGTTAAAATTCTAAATTTTAATAGACTTTGATAAAAGCTGATAAAATGTGTAATTAAAAAGTTGATAAAAGTTGTGGGTCCTCAAATGATTTCTCTCCATTTGTTTCGCCTTCGTCAGGTCTTCTATCTTTTCTTGCAAAGTAGTGATCTTATCCTTCAAAACGTAAAATTATCTTAGGTATTTGGACATGTCAAGTATACATGAAGAAGGATGGGCATTATTAAACAAATAAATACGACTTTTACTTGGGCCATCTTATGCGAACCCACGTAGCAATAGTAGCTACGAAATCCACACGAGATTGAATCATTGATAAGTGTGTTTTTGCACACTTATTTAGATCACAAACATGACTGAATAACGAGCAAAATGATTGAATTGTGGCTTAATCTCGTTACATTTGTGAATTTTAGGAAACAACGATAAACATGGTGAAATTCAGGAGAAAAGACGCAAAAAGGACTAAAATGATGCAAAGTGAAAGTTCAGGGACCAAGGTGCAATTATCCAAAAATTGACCCGATGAAAAAATCGAGAAATTGATTAAGCCAATTGCCAATTGATAATACCTTGGGATGATTGAATGAAAAGAATGAAGAAAAGATGCCAAGAAGTGAAGTGTTTAAGTGGGAGGACCAAAATGCACAACTTCCATAGTTGGTAGCACTATGCGACCCCTCTATGCGGTCATATAGAGGCATACCGAAGCTTAATGGTCACAATATTTTTACTCTATGCGACTGCATAGAGTTGCTCTCTGCGGCCGCATAAAACAATTTTCGGCTAAAATATCAATTTTCTTTTTCCGTCGAAACTCTTATGGAAACAATATTTTTAGGGTCTTATAAATACAAAAACTCGACCAGAACGAGGGGACGCCGTTTTGACAAGTTTTTGAGATATTTTGAAGGAGAAACGAAGAGAGAACAAGAGGACAATATCGCGCCAAGTGAAGATTCGATTGAAGATTGATTCGGGTGATGACGTTTCTTCAAATATTTTTATGTTTTCTTCTTTTTAGCATGTTAGGCTAGATTTATCATCACTAGGAGATCAATGAACCTTGTAATACTACATTTGATTGTTGTTTTGGATTTTTGACGTATTTAAACGCAAGTTCCTAATTTGATTGATTTATTACATTTTTATTTTCATATGATTATTGCGCACGTAATTATATGATAGTGGTGACCTGTTTTATGCATTCGAAAGAAGGAAAATAGGTTCGACATAGTATAAATCATCATAGGGTCCGATAGGGGATAGAAATATACCTCTATGCTTTGTGTGAATCATTAGATATTCGTGAATTTATAATGCATGTCAATATGTTAGTATTCGTCATAAAAATATAGTTGAATCATATATTGGGATATGTTTGGCATTACTCGAGAGAGATTGCTAAATTAAAATAGGAATATTGATTCATCTTTTGTGGAATTGTGTGTCAAAGTTGCACAATTGACAATTGAACGGGTATTGCTTGGGGATTCGTGATTCTAGTACGTTAGTATACTCATTAATTCCATAAATTTGAGCTAAATTGCATCTAAGTTATTTTGTATTTAGTATAATTTTTCATTCATGCTTGCATCAAAGTTTACATCTTTTTTTAGTTAAAGCGTAAAACATCAATTTGAATCTCGTGTTTCGGTTAAGGTCATAATAGATTAATTTGAACTAATTCAATCCTTGTGGGATCGATACTTGGATTCTATAGTCCATTTTACTACTTGTTAACGAACTGTACACTTGTGATGGATTTTAAATCGGAATAAATAATTTCGTGAACAAGTTTTTGGCGCCGTTGTCGGGGATTGAAATTTAGTTTTAATTTTATCTTTTGTGACACTCACTTGAACTTATCTAGATTATTGGTAGTTAGCTTATTAGGTTTGGTTTATTATTACTTCAATTTAATTTTGTGTTAATTTTGCTATCTCGGGGCTTATATGCAAGGAGCACCTAATCAAGACTTGGTTCCCATAGATCCAGAGATCGAACGCACATTCCGTCACAGGTAAAGAGAAGCAAGAGCGGCACAACAAATGGCTAACTAGCAAAATCGACCGGTAATTCCACTCAACGAAGGCATGACAGCTGAAGATGATGGGAATATAGTACTCGGGGACTTCATGGCTCCGTTGGCGGTCCAAAGTCAATCTAGCATTGTGTATCCTCCATTTGGGCAACCGAATTTTCAGCTGAAAACAAATGTGATTCAACTATTTCAGAATGGACATCAATACCACGGGATGGCTAGTGAAAATCCACATACACATATATCCCGATTTCTGGATATGTGCCAACACTTTAGGTATCAGGGTATCTCGGACGATGCTATAAGACTGCAGTTGTTTCCACACACCTTACGGGATAAAGCAATTGAATGGCTAGATTCACTTCCCGTCGCAAGTATCACCACTTGGAACGAGCTAGCCCACAAATTCTGCACCAAGTTCTTCTCGCCAGCTAAGGTAGCCAAAATGCGGCATGATATCTCTATATTCAACGAATGTGAGTCCGAATCATTTGAAGAGGCATGGAATCATTTCAAAAATATGTTAAGGAAGTGTCCGCAACATAGCTATGACAAGAAGACACAGATCCGATTTTTCTACACTGGACTACTCCAATCCTTCAAGAGCATGGTAGATTCATCATCTGACGGGTCTATCTCCACAAGAACAATTGATGGAGCATGAGAGCTATTTGAGAGAATGGCTACAACTTTAACCATGTGGTCTACAGATCGAGTGGTTCAGAAGAGAACGCCGGGGGTTTATGAAGTAGATACTTACTCAGCATTGTCTGCAAAGATAGACTCTTTGTTCCATAAGGTTGAGAGCATTTCATAGACCGCCACTACAAAACAAGTCAAGAAGCCAAGCTGTGAAGAATGTGGAGCAGACCATAGCATTGTTAATTGTCCAACTCTTGCATAGGGGGTCAAACATGCATATTTTGTGCAATGGGGTCGACGCCAACAGAACAACCCACATTCGAAAACCTTCAATCAGGCCTAGAGAAAACACCCAAACTTCTCATGGAGTAATCCGAATCAAAACAGACCACAAGGTCAATATCAGCAGCAGGATAAAAAGCCACCATTGGAAGAGATGTTCAAGAAGTTCATGGCAACAACCAATTAGTATATGGAAGCCAACAACCAGTTTATGCGAAAGACAGATATAACTCTTCAAGACCAAAGTGCAGCAATAAAAAATTTAGAGACACAAATGGGACAGATGACAATCTCCATGACGAGTAGAGCACCAGAAAACTTACCCAGCAACACTGAAATCAACCCCAAGGAGCACGCAAAGGCTATAACAACCAGAAGTGGAGTACAACTACCGAAGATACATGTAAAAAGATCGGTAGTAGCAAGGAATCAACACCAACATCAGATGATGAGATTGTGGAACAGACTAAACAAACAACAGGGGATGTTGCCAAGAAAAATTCCAATACATTACGGGATACAGTTATCAATCCCATCAACCCTCATGAACCACCTATTCCATTCTCGCAGAGGTTGAAAAAGCACAAATTGGATCAGCAATATAGTAAGTTTCTTGAAATTTTCAAGAAATTACACATCAATATCCCATTTGCTAAAGCACTTGTTCAGATGCCGAGTTATGCGAAATTCTTGAAGGATATCCTCTCCAACAAGCGAAAGATAGAAGAAAATGAAACAGTGATGCTAATTGAGGAATGCAGTGCTAGAATCCAGAGAAAGCTGCCTCCAAAACTAAAGGATCCAGTGAGTTTTACTGTACCTTACACTATTGGGAATTGTCATTTTGATAAAGCGTTGTGTGATTTAAGTACAAGTATTAATTTAATGCCTCTTTCTGTTTTCAGAAAACTCGGTTTAGGAGAAGCTAAAGCCACAACAGTTACATTACAGTTAGCAAATCAATCATTTACACATCCAAGAGGGATCATTGAAGACGTGTTGGTAAAAGTGGAGAAGTTCATATTTCCAGTCGATTTTCTCATCTTAGACGTGGAGGAAGATAAGGACGTTCCACTCATATTGGGGCGACCTTTCTTAGCTACTAGAAGAGCGATTGTCAATGTTCAGAAAGGGCAGCTTATATTGAGGCTTGGCGAAGAGCAAATCTCTTTCAACGTATTCAAGGCAATGAAATTTCCTACTGAGTCAGACGGCTGTTTCCAGATTGATGTAATTGACAGAATAATTCAAGATACATTTCGGCCACATCATCCTTCTAATACATACGAGGCGTGTATTGCACATTCTCAATCTACTCACACTGATTCAAGTGAGATTGAAACATGTGCACGATTTTTGGAAACTAATCCACCATACATACGCAGACGTTACTTTGAAGAGCTGGGAACTAGGACTACAAAATCAGTGTCATCTATTTAGCAACCTCCCAAATTGGAACTCAAGCAATTACCACCACACTTTCGATATGCTTACTTGGGGAAATCTTCTACACTTTCGGTTATTATTTTGAGTACTGTCAGTGAAGTGGAGGAAGAGAAACTACTTCGGGTGCTAAGGGAGAATAAAACAGCCATTGGATGGTCTATTGCAGATATCAAGGGGATCAGCCCGTCGCTGTGCATGTACAAAATACTCATGGAGGAAAAATTCAAACCAAGCATTGATGGTCAGCGGAGATTGAATCCACACATGAAGAAAGTGGTTAGGGCTGAGATATTGAAGTTGCTCGACGCAGGCATCATCTATCCAATATCAGATAGTGCATAGATCAGTGCAGTACAAGTTGTTCCCAAAAGAAAGAGGGTATCACAGTGACAGAAAATGAGAAAAATGAGTTGATTCCTACATGGATAGTGACTGGATGGAGAGTTTGCATTGATTACTGCAAACTAAATGCTGCTACTCGAAAGGATCACTTTCCACTATCGTTCATTGATCAGATGCTGGAGAGACTAGCAGGGCACTCGCATTACTGTTTTCTGGATGGGTACTACGGGTATAGTCAGATTCCAGTAGCACCTGACGATCAGGAGAAGACAACTTTCACTTGCCCCTAGGTACCTTTGCATACCGTAGGATGTCGTTTGGTTTATGCAACGCTCCTGCAACTTTTCAGCGCTGCATGATGGCTATCTTCTCAGATATGATTGAGAAATTCATCGAGGTATTCATGGATAACTTCTCAGTGTTCGGGTTTTCGTTTGATGAGTGTTTGGAGCATTTGAGCCTTGTGCTACAGCGGTGTACAAAGACTAACTTGGTATTGAATTGGGAGAAATGCCACTCTATGGTACAGGAAGGCATCGTGCTAGGACACAGAACCTCAGCAAAGGGTATTGAAGTGGACAGAGTAAAGATTCAGGTGATCGAGAAATTACCACCACCTACATCAGTGAAAGGTGTTCGTAGTTTCCTCGGGCATGCCGATTTCTATAGAAGGTTCATCAAGGATTTCTTAATGATTACTAAACCATTGTACTGTTTGTTGATGAATGAATCCATATTTGAGTTCACGGATGAGTGTCTGCTAGCTTTTAACACCTTGAAGGAGAAGTTGATTTCAGCACTCGTGATCATCACATCGGATTGGAATTTGTCATTTGAATTAATGTGCGACGCCAGTGATTTTGCTATTGGGGCCGTCTTGGGACAACGAAGAAATAAGATATTTCACATGATTTACTATGCAAGCAAGACCTTGAACGACGCTCAACTAAATTATGCCACTACAGAGAAAGAGCTCCTTGCCGTAGTCTACGCCTTTGACAAATTTCGATCATACCTTGTGGAGTCAAAGGTCGTCATTTACACAGATCACGTTGCTATCAAGTACTTAATGAAAAAGAAGGATGCAAAGCCACGTCTCATTCGTTGGATATTGTTGCTTCAAGAGTTTCACTTGGAAATCAGGGATAAGAAGGGCAGTAAAAACGTGGTGGCAGACCACTTGTCTCGACTCGAGACCACTAAACAGACAGAGAGTGGAAATCAATGAAGTCTTGCCAGATGAACAGATTTTTGGTGTGGATGAGGTACCCTGGTATGTGGACATAGTTAACTACTTAGCAAGGTCTATCATGCCGCCTGATTACTCCAGTCACCAGAAGAGAAATTTTTCGTCGAATTGAAGTATTTTTTTTGGAAGGACCTCATTCTATACAGGCGGGGGGCTGATCAAATCGTTCGTCACTGCGTACCTAAGGAAGAAGTGTCTTTGATATTAGAACATTGTCATTCATCTACATATGCAGGGCATTTAGGTACTTTGAAAACAGCGGCAAAGATCCTTCAATCAGGTTTTTACTGGCCTACACTATTTAAGGATGCTTCTGAATTCGTGAAGAGCTGTGACCGATGTCAACGCATCGGTAATATATCCAGGAGAAATGAAATGCCTTTGAACAATATCCTGGAGGTGGAACTATTCGACGTCTGGGGGATCGACTTCATGGGACCATTTCCCCCATCCTTCTCTAATCAGTACATATTAGTGGCTGTGGATTACGTATCGAAGTGGGTAGAGGCCGTTGCATTGCCTACCAATGATGGGAAGGTGGTGATTGAGTTTCTAAAGAAAAATATTTTTACCCGCTTTGGCACACCGATGTCTATAATCAATGATGGGGGCAAACATTTCTGCAATCGTCAGTTTGAACAATTGTTGACTAAATATGATGTTAAACATCGTGTAGCCACTGCATATCAGCCCCAAACCAACGGACAGGTCGAAGTGTCCAATAGGCAATTGAAACGAATACTCGAAGTCACAGTGAGCTCGTCACGAAAAGATTGGTTTAAGAAATTGAACGATGCCTTGTGGGCCTATAGGACTGCATTCAAGAGCCCTATAGGAATGTCACCACATCGACTGATTTTCGGAAAGACATGCTACTTACCTTTTGAGATAGAACACCATGCTTACTAGGCAATGAAGAAATTGAATTTGGACTTGAAGACTGCAGGTGAAAAACGTCTACTACAACTTAACGAATTGGATGAGCTCAGAATGGAAGCCTACGAGAATTCAAGACTCTACAAAGAGCGCACCAAGAAATGGCATGATATGCACATTCAGAGGCGGGAATTTACGGTGGGGCAGAAAATGTTACTCTACAACTCTAGGCTTAAGCTGTTTTCAGGAAAGTTGCAATCAAGGTGGTCTGGTTCGTATACTATTACACAGATTTTTCCACATGGGGCAGTTGAGATCACTCACGACAGCAAGGGGACATTCAAGGTCAATGGACAGCGTTTGAAGCATTATTGGGGCGGCGATTTTTCAAATGAAAAATCTACCGTTCATCTTAGACCACCAGAATGACGCAATACGGTAAAGTCGAGCTATCGACTATAATCTAGCACCGAGTAGGAGGCAACCCACTGTATCCTTCTATTAGCTTACTTTTCACATTATTTTTAGAATTATTTCATTTTCGCATTTGCATTTTTCTAGGTCATCGGTCATACATGCATGTTAATTGGATCGAATTATCATCCCCATAATTTTCTAGGATTACCCATATGGTCGGTGAGTTTAAAATTATTTTGTGTGTTTGGGAGTATGATTCACGCATTTTAGATAAAAGAACGTTTTAAAAAAAAATTGGTCTATCCGATCGCATGGACATAATGTCTATGCGACTGCATAGACCCCGACCGAACCAAAAGAGGGGGGTTTTTATTTCACTATGCGACCGCAAAGGAATACACTATGTGGCCGCATAGAAGTTGGCCGGTCATGGACTTAAGTCCAAGATCGGCTCATTCGAAGGGCAAACACCCATTTCCCGCGCCCATCTCTCTCTCACCTCTTAGGTCCCAAAAATTCCCAATACACCATCTACCACACAAGCACCCACTCACATTCCTACTCCCTCGCTCAATTCTTATCACTCCCGCATTCATCACTCCTCTTCAAGGCGAAAAAGGTATGAATTTTTTTTTTCCTCCTTTCATTTCGCATTTGATTTGTAGTTACTCACCACTTGCAATTGGGATTTAAGTTGAAAGGGTGTAAGTATGCTTGGTTTAGGGCTTTAATTTGTGTTTTTGCTTTTTGGATGATTACAATTTGCCAAGTAGTTTTAGAATGGAGTTGAATATATATTGCACACAACGTGTTCGATGAATTGCCTGAGTGAAGTTTGTTATGCATTTTGAGCTATCTCGCATTGGACAATCTGACTATACGCATTTCCATATATGTGGTGATCAAATGCCATTGATATTGTGCTCGAAACACTCCCGTACCAACACACACATGTAGGCACACGTGCTAGGCTCACGTCACTTTACAATACCTACTTCGTCCCTTGCATTAAGTACCCATACGACATCCAATGCGTATGAAATTTGAATATGTTCTACTCCACACTACGTACTTTCATATGCCCGGAGGTTGCTTGGGAAAATTTCGAGTTTTCTCGACGATGTCTGGGGGTGAATTTGCTCACTTCCTCATGGATCACTCAACACATTTTTGGATGTTTTGAGCTTCATTTTGGGTGTGTATTGTTCTTTTGCCTTCTTTCTTCGTTCTTGAAAATGTTTTCTTGAAGTTTGCATATGCCACATTCATAAACACATGAAAAACATCACATCAATTTTGCAACACGAAGGCACATGGCTAGGTCACGTTATGTCACGGCACCATACGTCCCCTACTTTACACCATTATATGACATACCAAACAAAGTCCATTTGTTTTGAAATTTGAATATATGGTAGATCTCATTGAATTGTTTCATATGCCTGGAGATTACCTGGGAAAATTTCGATATTTTTCGATGATGTCCGGGGCCGAACATACGCACTCAATCATGGGTCCAATTTTTCAAATGTGCTTGTTTAGGCCTAAATTTCCAATTTTTCATCTTGGCATACTATTTACACTACTTTGAATGTCATATTTTAATGAGTGCACATCAAGGAGTTCTACATGCTTGTTGAAGCAAGTTTGGGGGATTCGTAAAATACTTATCTTGCTAATCTCATTCCCCATCTTGTTTTTCAAAATGAAGTTTAATGAATGCTATTCATTTCCCTTTGCAGGATGCCTCCGAAGAGAACATCAAAAGGAAAGGAAAAGGCTGGTTCCACATCTGGCACTGCCCGGACTAGGGAGCCAGAGGGGGATGTTCGACGTTTTCTATTTTCGGACCAAGCAACCCGCTATGCCAATGTTGTCCATGAATGGGCACTCATCCCCGAGAGACCAGTTAAGTTGGATGATTTCCCGAGTTTTGAATTGGTTTATTTAATCCACAACTGTGGATGGGAGAAAGTGATTGAAAGATTACACCCCATCTATGAAAATTTGGTGCGGAAATTCTATGCAAATTTCAATGCTGAAATAGACACACCTGGATCGGACCATCTGCATCAAACATGGGTCCGAGGCAAATAGATCATGTTTTCACCTGAGGTAATACATGACTACTATCAGCTCACTTGGTCTAATGTAGTCCCAGTCTCGCATGATTTCAATTGGGTTGAGGTTGCAGAAGTGTTGTTGGGACGTGAAAATGCTTGGCCTCTCCCTACTGCTGATTGGTATCAGATTGACCTCACTCTTTCTATAGCCATCCTATGGTTGTTCATCTGTCACAACATCGAGCCCATCTCCCATAGGACGACATTCACGAATCAGAAGGCGGGGTTCATCTATCACTTAGTTTGGGGCAACAAGATTGACTTAGCCACTTACATTTACAATAAGATACACATTACAGGCGCATGGGGTGACAGGCACACCTCTCTCATTTTCCCGAGCTTGATAAGTGGAATTTGTAGAGCTGTCGGCATACAAGTTCAGCCGGGGAAGGCACCAGAGAAATCAAGTCCATTTATCAAATGCCTCACACTCGAGGTCCAGGACCAAGCCAGAATTAAACATCAACAGAAGTTGAAAAATGAGCGTCGGCGACAGCAACAAGCTGCAGAAGGGCCAGCAGCTGAGGACTTTGAAATGCCACAAGCTCCACCACCACCGGCTGACGTGGA